TTTTTTCTTTTTGCTTATGTGGTGCTGAGGAATCGAACCCAGGGCCTCAGGCATGCAAGGCAAGCGCTCTACCACTGAGCCACCTTCCCAGCCCCCATTGCAATTGTAATTGTAATGTTCTAAACCTTTGCCATTTTCCACTTCACTTTCCATACCTAAGAACAGTGGCCCTCCCATTCAAGAAAACAACATCCTATTTTCCTTCCTGAAGGCTTCCACACTTGCTATTCTGTTTACAGTATTTTTTCATATCCTATTTTTGCTTAACTAACAAATATTTTTATTCTTTGATGTTACTTTACCAGGGAGGCCATTATTGGTCACTATGAGTAGAAATTCATTTGTTTTTTCTGCTCTCTACTGCTGTACTTACACAATTTTTTAAACTTTTCTCTTTTTTATTTTGTGCTTGTAATGGGGCTTGAATTCAGGGTTAGGGCACTGTCCTTTAGCTTTTTCACTCAAAGCTGGCACTCTAGTACCTGAACCACCCCTCTACTTCTGGCTTTTTTGTTGGAGGTAAGAGTCTCATGGACTTTCCTGCACAGGCTGGCTTTGAATCAAATCCTCAGATCTCAGTTTCCTGAATAACTAGGGTTACAGGCATGAGCTACTGGTGCCTGGCACACTTTTGTTTTAAATACAGCACAACTTGGAGTTACTTTTTTTCTGTGCATATTCCTATTTTTGTTTATTGTGACTATCTTCTACTTAGTGTGTAAACTTCACCCGATCAAGAGTAATTTCTGGGGCTGGGAAGGTGGCTCAGTGGTAGAGGGCTTGCCTTGCATGCTCGCGGCCCTGGGTTTGATTCCTCAGCACCACATAAGCAAAAAGAAAAAAGCCGGAAGTGGCGCTGTGGCTCAGGTGGTAGAGCCCTATCGTTGAGCTGAAGAGCTGAGGGATAGCCCCCAGGCCCAGAGTTCAGGCCTCACGACCGGACCCAAAAAAAAAAAAAATCTAAAGCTCCAAAGAATTGAAAACACAATTAAAAATGGCAAAAAAGTTGAAATAGACATTTAAAAAAAAAGAGTAATTTCTATGTTATATACACTATACGCACATGCATACAACATGTAATGCAGCCACGGGTGCACAATAAATCTTGACTAAGTGCACAAAAAGGGCATTCACCAGTATACCAGGAGAAAAGGCAAACTATATAACCTGTAAGAGATGAGACACAGGCTAGTTCTTTACAATTTTTTTTTTTTTTTTGCCGGTCGTGGACCTCAACTCTGGGCCTGGGCGCTGTCCCTCAGCTCTTCAGCTCAAGGCGAGCGCTCTACCAATTGAGCCACAGCGCCACTTCCAGCTTTTTCTGTTTATGTGGTGCTGAGGAATCGAACCCAGGGCCTCAGTCATGCAAGGCAAGCACTCTACCACTGAGCCACCTTCCCAACCTGTTCTTTACAATATATAAAGATACTGATGCCATGTTTGTGTTAACCAAAAAGAATGACAGCTCTTTCAATTACATTAATTCCTATGCTCTTTCTAGGTTTAAACAAAAAAAGATAGAAAATAACATTGTCTGAAATACCTGACAGGTGTTCGTGGACTACCAATAAATCTTCGAGGGGATCGAATTTTTGGTTCAAAGGAAAACTTTTCTTTCACACTTTCAAGTACAGATGGAGCCACATATGTAAAACCCTGAAAGACAGTAACAATGGACTACAGAATGGCAGATTATCATACACATCAAAACAACAACAAATTTTTGTTCTGTTTTTTTTGATAGAGTCTATGTAGCCCAGCCTGGCCTTGAACTTTCAGTTCTCCTGCCTGAACCTCTTGAATACTGGGATCATAGGCATGTATCATAAAACCTTTTTGTTTATATTCTTTGGTAAAATGAGTTGTCTGGTGTCTGAATACCAACATAATGATGTACACTTAAAATCACTAATGCATATATTCTCCCATTTCCTTGAGCTCATACCTGTTAACTTCTTTCCAGCCATTTTTTAAGGCATAGACCTCAGGAAAGCAGAATTCTATTCAGCCCCATATGCCAACACACAAAATTCTCCACTATTATTAGGAGAAAAAAAAACAGGAAGAATGTAGGCTTCACATTATGGTTTTAAGTAACACAGAAATATAAGCAACAAGAGTAGTATAAGCAAGTAAGATAATCACTTTCAAAACAGCTTCTTGCAGGGTGCTGGTGGTTCACAACCATAATTCCAGGAGGCTGAGATCTTGAGGTTCCAAGCCAGCCCAGGCAGCAAAGTTTGTGAGACTTTATCTCCAATTAACCACCAAAAAGCCAGAAGTAGAGCTGTGCTCAGGTGGTAAAGTACTAGCCTTGAGCAAAAAATTAAGGGACAGTACCCAGCTCCAGAGTTCAAGTCCCAGGACCAGCACAAAAAGCAAAAGAACAACAAAAACAAGTTTCTTACAGTGAGGTCAAAGCAAAACCAGACTGAATTCTCTGATGTAACATGGGTGATCTTTCTGTTTCTGCACCAATGATTATACAAGATTAGGCATTTGGTGGCTAAATGGTAGAGTACCTGCTTAGCAAATGTGAGGCCACGGGTTCAAACCCCAGTACTGTCCCCCACCAAAAAAAAAAAAAAAAAAAAAGAAAAGAAATTTGTGTCATACTGTTGAATAGGTATCAATATTATGCAAACCTCCACTGCAACAGACAGCAATACAGTTCTATTAGCTTTAGCTCTTTCTTGGACTTTGCTCTTACGCTACCCACTGTCATTTCA